GTGACTTACTCGGTCTGAAAGTCTCCTGTGGTGATCACCCTTCTTTTGAAAGCATACTTTTTGAAAAGAAAAAAAATCCCCATATTTTTTTAGAAATGGAAAGCTGGCATTTTGCAAAGCAGAGTACCAGCTAACAACATTATCTTTATTTTCAAGGATAACTCTGAGCGTCAAAATTCTTAGGAAATCAAAACAATGAGTGCACAGTAATGTATTTTGGAGGTATATTTCCCCTTTCCAGAAAATGGCAAAATAAAGCAGGATTAATAGGGAGCAGCCGATTCAGTAGCTGGAGAGAGAATAGCAGAGAGAACAAGTTAAATTGGTAGATTGCAATCAGCAATGTCCCACATAGCCATAATTTTGTGAAGAGTCAGGTTTGCCCATTAGCTTTTTGCCTGATAATTTATAATATATTCTCAAAATTCCAATGGGGTCCACACCCAAAAAGATCAGAGACTTACTATATCATACCATACTTTCCTTTTTGTTTAAAATCAGATTATAAATTGAAACATGCACTAAGCTTAGTAAGAACCATTTCCATCTTCTAAGGCTCTTGTGAATGTTTTCTAAGCCACGCTCAATTTGAGAGAATATTTCATGAAATGAGATAAATGGCACTATAATTCTAGCTCAAGCCAAAAAATGTATTAAACTCTATAGCCTTTCAGCAGAATTTAAAGGACATGATCCGGGATATAATTATTGTCATTTCCAAACTTCAAATTTTAATGAGTAGAGCAAATATGAGAAAGCACAATAGGAGGCAAGGGGAATCAATACTAATTTCTTAAAGGTAAACCATGGATGTTGCTTAACACTTCAGCCTTCGAGCGTCAACCAACTCGCAAGGGCATATAGGGTCTCAATATATTACTGCAGAGGCCAAGAGAAATATATCTGCCTCATCATGTGTTCCAAATATTACCAAAGCAACTTGCCTATGGAAAAGCAGACCTACAATCAAGAGTGCATATAAACAAAATGCCTGGAACCCCAATCACATCATCCAAAGACCTACATCCTTTTTAACTTTTATTGTACTTCAAAGTGATTTGTACTAAACCAATGTGCACATCTGGATATAATACTAGAATATCTTGCAAGATGCAGTGCCTGAAGGTCTGTCTGTCTGTCTTTCTCTCTCTCTGTGTGGGCTGTTGAGTGGGAGAGGCTTATTTCAAGATGCAAAACCTCCAGATTAAGAACACCAAATATTTAAGCAGCACCTTAGGCCAAAGGATATTTTTATATTCACTGTTGGTTCATATGCAACAGGACAGTCTGTCGGTCACAGGGCTTTATAAGAACCTAAAAGTTATTAGACATTAAATGGTCCTGGGATGGTCATGACCATAAACATGAAATAGAGAGCCATCATGACCCTCACATGTGCAGCAGATAAAATCTAATCTGACCATCCTGCAGACTCAGAAAAACATAGCTGGAGACAGAGAGTCTAGAAGAAGTGCAAAAGTCGTATAAGAAAGGTATTTGGATGTGACAAATCTTTGCAGCAACATTCAATGTAGTCAACAGCCATTATGAAATGCCCTGTTGCCCCACAGTTTAAGCTTAACGTGGCTATTAAATCACTGCCAGAAAACCAATAGCAGTGCACCTTGATATTCTTCATGGAGAAGAGGCTTAAGGGAAAAGAGGTCCACAGACTGGAGGTTAGGAGTGTTGCAGCCTAATGCTTCTGGAAAAACATTTAAGTTGGGGGAAATTCATCTAATAAAACTGGGATGTGTGACAGAAGAAAAATGAGCACATGCTTCACTAAAGAGCCAACCTAGAAGTTAAAAGCTACAAGAAGCTAGAGGAAATTAATAAGTGACATCACCTCCAGTTCAGTCCCTGGCCTATAATATAGTCACATAAAAGCCACAGTTCAGAGCCATATGTTGTCAGGGAAGCTTCTCACATTAAACATGTGAAGGGATAACTGACTGCAATTATCAGAAAAATATGAAATACTATGTGAACAACTGAATATGGACAGAAAGCCATTCTCTTAGTACTGTAGGAGGAGACCCATGTTAGCCAAAATTCGGAAGTCTGATAACACTTTTTTTGGCTAGGCTCATATGGGATTTAAATTGGGGTGATGCAGGGGTGGGGGGACATGTTGGTTATGCAGATATGTTACCTGTAATACAGGTTACAAATACTTATAAAATATCATCTTACCACCTCCCCCCAATTTAAATCATACATTGGTCAAGTCACTCCATGCATCTAATGAAGTGAGTGGTTTATGAAAGTGAATGACTCTTATAAAAACTTGTTAGTTGGAATGTGTACTACTAGATTTATTTTTATTTTTCCCTTGGCAACTAACAGAAGTCAGTTCCACCATTAACTGGAGAGACAGATTCAAAAAAACCCTAAAACTGTAGTTTAAGGTAGACATTAGATCCAGCACATTTCATTTAGAAATGAAAATATAGAACATTCCTGGAAAAGGTTCACTTGAATAGAGAACTTTAAAACTGGCTCTAAATGCAGTAGTAGATGTAGTTATAATTATTTCACCTTGAAAAGAATTTTGCATTCAAGGTCCTTTTAAAACAGTAAAGAATTGGAATAGCTAGTACAAATCCCAACATTGCATTTTTTAATAATGCTGGTACTGGATAATCATTTTCAACCTGGAAATTGCGTCCAACATATCTGGAGCACACCAAGTTTGGAAAGGCTAAATTAGCCAATAGCAGCAAGATCCTCTACAGAATGTTCTTGGTAGTTTATGAACTCAGAAGTGTACCTGGTCAATTATTGCAAAAGGATTTTCAAAAGGGAAGAGGGAACTAATACAGAGACTTTCCATTTTCTCCAACAAATGCCATGTTTGACCAGAATTGAAGACTTGTCCATCTTAAAACTCCAGGCAGGATTGGGGTACTTTCACATTGCTTTTGTTTTCAGCAGATCCTCCTGGGCTAATGACAAATTGTCCCTGAAATGAAGGCTCAGTTCAATAACACTTGGTGACAGGAATAGATATTTGCATATGTGGACCTCAGTGTTCAAGTTGCCCGATTGCCTTGCAGGAAATCAAGCAGCTTTTTATGCCAGCCAGATTCAATCCTACTTCTTACTTGTCTGTAACCAGTTCTTATTACTGGGCATAGCTTTCTATGGTCAGCTTTTCTGGATAATAAATGCATCAGATCCACCCTCCACAAATTTCTGGCGCGTCTAGCTGGATTCACTATCATTACTAAGCAGTCTGATGGCTGTTTTTACTCCGTCAGGCTGCCAAAACTGAAGCTATAGTTCCATAGCAAAGCTCCGTTGTTAGCCTTGAATGTTTCTCAGCCTTGCAGAATGCTGGAATTTCTGTTCATTAGGAGATGCTGAAGCATTGTTATCATTTTGTGTACTGCTCTGGCCTCTCACAGCAAAAGAATTGTTTGCTTGCTTCCTCTGTCCACAGCTAAAGGAAGAGACGTCCTTTTCACTTCTTAGACAGAAGAGGTTTTCTACAGCTTACTAAGAAGCCACCAGCAATTTTGCCACAGCTGCGCTGCATACAACAGATCCCTTCACACAAGCCAACAAAGCGAGACCTTTGCCAAGGGAAGGGTCTGGCAGTGCCAATCATGAGGCTGTAAAGTTAACGCAGCCAAGACAGAATAAGGGAGCCCCAAATAGTCAGATAATCCTTCTTCCCCTCCTCCCCAACCAGCCTCAGCCATGTTTATCCCACACCTCATCATGATCACAGCACCACACCTGCTGTTTGCAACCTGAGCCAAAGCAGAAAATTTTTTCTTGAAGTCTGAGGAATCATGCAGAAAGCTGGCGGGGAGGAGTGTTCAAAATAAAAGGCAACACTGAAAAGCAGCCAACATGAGCCCAAGAAATTCCTTAGGAGAGCAGTTTCTGAAACAGTAGCCAAAGAAAGCCTTTCCTTTCTGGAGACAAGAGAAGATAGGCACTGGGCCTTTCTCCCAGGAGTGAGGACTGCTCCTGGATCCAAAGCAGCTTTTCCTTTTTCTTCTTGTGTGGCCTCACTCTGAGCCCCTCTCCAATCACCTTGATCATCAGCCATGGCAGAAAGTGGCATAAAGAGAAAGATGTAAGGACTGGGGCTACTAGAGCAGTTTTTACTCTTTGTGTATGGGGAACATAATCATATAGGAAACCCATCCCCCAATTCCGCCCACATACTACCAAATCTGGTTCTAATAGCTTTGTGAAACTGAGAATCAGGAAAACCAGCTAACATTGAAAGAAAATGTGTGTTTGTGTATTTCAAATTCTAGTTTTGTGGGAAAGGATGAAATTCAAGATGGTGGGTGCCCCATTGACTTTACTGACAATGCAGATACACTTGTATGCAAGCAGAACTTTGTCAGAAGTCTGGCAAAGTTGAACTGATGTGTAATACATGTAAAGCACCTGCCTTATTCACCAAATAACTTTAACTAGGGAGTAAGGGTTTTATTTATATTTTCCAAGTACAGTCATTATCCACTTAACAATATTATTACTGGGGGGAAGGTTAAGATTCCTTGCCAAGATTCACACCAAGCCATAATCTGGTTTTATTGGTTTGGGCAATGAAAGGAAATGTCAAGGAAACCCAGCTACTTCAATTTATTTAACAAGTTATGATTAAATAAGGCTTGGTATAATGTATGAATCAGAATAATTGCTCACTCTCACTTCCTGTGTTATAACTGAAGATGCATATATTTAAATCACAAAGAAATAATAAAAAGTATAGTATTGAGTCTGGCACTGGGAGACCCAGATTCAAGTTTACCCATAGCCAGTCATTTTCACTCTACCCAGTCTACTTTTCAGCACTGTTGTGGTTGGAAAAAAGGGAGCTATTTTGAGGGGTGGGGGAGGAAAGGGAGGGAGGGAGAAAGAATACAAGCTGGTAGAATTCCCTTGTGTATATTTTCCAAGGCGCCAACTTCTAATGGCTATTTCAGCTGGAGTTTAAACTCCAGTCTTTTCAAAGATAACTCCTCACTTACCTGAAGTATCCCACATGTTAAGCTCAATGCGCTGCTTCTCAATCTCAAAACTGGCTGTGTAGTTCTCAAATACAGTAGGGACATAATTCTGCAGGTAATGGACAAAAAAATGGGATTAGAATGCATATCAAGAATCAGATACAGGACTCATAGAAGTGGGAGTTTATTTCCATCATTGTCCACACTCTTCAGACTTCTCTCAAAAGCAGCCATTCCGGCCATTCTGTTCTTTATATGATACAAACAGGCCTTGGCTAAGGTGACAAAATGTAGGTATAAGCAACACCCTCCATGCCCTCCAGATGTGCTGGACTAATATTGTCAAGGCTCCTTTGCTACATGAAGCTGATGGAAGCAGTAATCCAAACTTCCTTGAGGCAGCAGTTTGCTTACTCACGAGTTACCCCAGGATGAAAGCAACTGCTTAGAAGCAGTCCTGTAGGAGGGCTGGGAACTGATACTAGATTTTTAGAGCTCCCTGAAGAGACCAAGGCTGTTTTTTCAGTCCTCATCATTATTCACAGAATGGGACCCATTGCTATATTATCAAATGACCCTTTTCCAGCCTTAGTTTCCTAATTTTCAAAATTTTAAATTCCCTTATTTTCCTTGAGCAGATCTGATTCCTGTCCTTCATATCAGCCTCCACCAGAAACTGCCCTTGAACCTCCTTCCTTCCCCACGAATCCATGACTCTACTTTCCATGACTCTACTTTTTCTTCTGCCCGTTTCACCCATTACTTCCCTCTTTTGCTTTGCCTTCCCAATGTCACAGTCTACCTAGAAACCGGGTTTTCAATCTCTGTCCCCTGCATGAACTGTAACCCTGCAGCTTGCGGTGTCCTCCATAAAGTAGCCGTGATTGTTGGGCTCGTGTATGCTCAGCCTCGCCGCTGGATCTTCCGGGTGGGACTAGGGTCCATGCCCACCTCAGCCCCGCGCCAAGAGCACTCTCCACCCGCCACCTGCACACCCAGTCAGTCGCCCTCACTCACTTCCATTGCTTCCCGCTGAATCCACTTTCTCGGTCCACCATTTGACCTCCGCAGCGTGGTCCCTTTGGATGGAGCCCTTTCGCCCCATCCTTTCGGACGCTCCCCTCACTCTCCTTCAAGCTCCCCTGTGGTTCCTCCATCCCGGGCTGCCTGCACTCCTCCCCCCTTGCCCCGGTTCTCCTACCTCAGGATAGGCGTCCTTGGCGAAAACATGCAGCAACGCTGTCTTGCCGCACTGGCTGTCGCCAACCACCACGATTTTGCAGTGCGATAGCTGATTCTCCATGACGGCCGGTGTCCCCGCTGCTGAATGAATGACGGACCCGCACACAACACGCTACCTGCTAGCCCGACCGGTCCCAAAGCATCGCAGCTCGTCGCTCGCTCTCCTGCCTTCTCAATCCCAGCAACCGGCTACCGACGCCGCTTTCCGGCTTCTTATGCCGCACCCCCGACTCCGCCCTCCCGGGCCCCAGTGCTCGCTGATCCTGGTTCAGCCAGAGGTTCAACCATCGGCTCTGCCGCCAGGGGGAGCTTTTTGCTTCTGTCTGAGACGCATCAAGGTTTGCGCGGGAGATGTGCGTGGAGATTTCTGGCAGCTCGAAAACGTCGCTCGAAAAGTTCAAAAGTAACTTTCCAGCTCGGAAAAATTAATGATGATTTTGCATGCTGTTCTGAACTACATTTAAATTATTTTATAATTTGGAAGGGGGACTTTTTTCGGTTTCTTTATTAACCGTGCTGAACTTACTAAGGGGTAAACAAACGGACTACGAATTTAAATGCCTTCATAATTCTGCCTTATTTGAAGGGACTCCAGGAGTTTTACTCTTTTGACGGGGCAGGAAGAATAACTATTTTCGTTATGTTTCTTCCATTCTGTACTTTTGCATCCCTCATTTTATTCCTGCAAACTGTTTCACGCTAAAAAAAACCCTACTAAAAAAAATCTAAACATAGAGGCAAATATTACAGGAATGAATTAGACACTCGAAATAATTTCTTGCTAAAATGTTGTATTCTATAGCGCAACACAGCACAGAGAATAGATAGGATAATAAGGATAGGATAATAATAATAATAGCATTATTAATTAACATATACTTGCATTACAATTTTTATTCTAATGGTAAAATCTATTTTAAACCTAGGATAAAGAAAGCAAAGAAAAAGAGAGTAAAAAGTAAAAGAGAAAAAGGAAAACAAAGAGAAAAGAAAGATTATAGCAAAGAGAAAAATATATGGAAAGAAGTGATTTACAATTATCATCCCAAGCATAAATAAATTTAGTGACTCCTTTTGCCCCTCTAATAATACAATCCCATTTCTTATCTACAAACAAACCCATAAACATAATCTTTTCAGTTCTGGTGTCAACAGAAAATGCATAAAGGGTTACCAAAAGTAGCAACATATCTCAATCAAATAAACTCTCTTTGTATTCCTTTCTTTTATTTTTTAAAATCTTAATCTATTCTTTAAATCAAATATTTTTGTTGGATTTGATTTCGTTTATTTCATTGCACTGAATTATTCAGGTCTTTAACAAGCCTCTTTTGTAAACCGAATAAAAAAAGTTATCTAGATCACTTGCTTGGTTTATAATTTATAATTATGGTTTATAATTTGTATTTCCCTTTTGATTTTTAAAATAATACCAGACAGTTTGTTTCGTATATCTGGTGGGATATCCTTCAAGTTGTTATTTTGGCCATCATTTGTATATCCACTTTCATCACCATCTCTATCTTGTCAGATAAAATTTTTCCATGTCTGTACTTTCTTCATTAACATATTTGGACATAATCTATCCATAGAGGCAGACATAATGACTGACATAGTCAGTCTGTTAATAGTTGTGGCTACTAATTTTGGTCTCATTTTTCAAAAGTCTAATATTTTCCATGTTGTAACATTAGATCCCAGTTAATTAACTCAACAGATAGGTGTATGTCCCCCCCCACGCCTTGAATCAGTCCCCCTGCTGTTGAATTTTTAAAATCATTGGTCTTGCAAAAACCAAGAGATTTATTTCCCATGAGAAGTTGTTAATAATTAATTTCAAAATCTTATTGTAATGGTTTCTAAATTTCAAATTTATTTGAATTCCTAGTCCATTAATAACATTCTAAGATCACCACTTTATTTAACTTTTTCCTGTTTATTTCATTTTAAAAAAAAAATCTTAAGATTGATTTTTTCTTTTATTCAGGACTGAAATAAGTCATCTGCTGTTTTCAAATTTTTCATCCCAAGGTTTCTAATAGTAATTGATAAGTACCAACTGCAGTTCTGAGCAAAATAGCTATTTCTCTTACCTCCTATCACTTACTTCCATGGTAGAGTGATCTCCTGCAGTGCCCTGGCAGGGATCAGCTATTTAGTTTAGAGCACAGGTAGATGATACCCTCTTCTCTCCTTAACTGAAAAGTTTTCAAAGAATCATAGCTCCTCAATCTTTGCCATGGTCGTAAGCTCTGCTTTCTTGGAGATGTCTTTAGTCAAACAATCTCACTCTTAAACATTAACAAGATTTAAAATAATAATTATTTTTTCAAAGAGATAGCCACTTGTTAGGTTGTTGTGGCAGAACCCTCTAATTCCTTAAAGGCCCATAGATTACTATGACAGAAACTTCCATCAATGAAAAATGAATACACCAGCACAGATATCCAGCATTTGGCTTTTTTAAAATCTGTCTTCTATTCCCCTTTTATAGCTCCAGATTTGATGTGGACACTTGTTAGAAGATAACACATGTCACTCTCTTCATGTGATCTTCAATATGATACAGTATTGTATTCAAAACGGAACGGCCATTTTATGTCTTTTTTTCCCTTTTGCATAAATAGGGACTATGTTCTCCTTTAGCCACATGGGGGAAGAAAGAAGAAGATGCTGCAGTGAATGTAATGAATCTCTCAGATGACAACCTTCAGACATCCTTCAGTTGCGAGTTGACCTCTTGATGACTGGACATTTTGTGGCATGTCTACAATCACCATTTCATTCCGTGGCCTCATAAATGTGAGTACAAGCATAGAGCAGCTTTTCCATGTTGATTTCCTTCCTCATGCAGTAGACTACAACACTGAGCATCCATGGACGGCATGTATGTCGTATAAATGTATCCATGTCATTCTTCTTGTTCTTTGCCCTACTCCCGTCATAGCATGGGTCCGCAGAAAGGCTTCCATCTTACTAATTTATATATAATTATTTAGTTCATTTCTGATATTCTCTGATTAAAATGACCACTGGTCTGTAATTACAAACCATAGAATACAGAACAAGAATCAGGCAAGAAGCTCATAACCTGACTCTCTCTGCATCAGGTCTGACAACAAGTGATTCAATACTGTTGGTCACACAAGTTTTGCGTCCCAGCCTTTCTTCCAGGGTCTTTATAGTTCCAGATTCGGTTTGGGCATTTATTACAAGACAACAGATGTGTAAGGACCAGCCTCTCCCCCCTTCAAAAAATAAGTATAGACTCTTGAAAATGTATTTCAAAAGGAAGAGGGGTAAAAGCAAGAGAAAATTCAAAGCAGGATCTTAGGTCCCTCAAGGCATGCAACCAAGATAAAGGGAATTAGGAACCCCTCCTAACAGTCCTATGTGGATTCCACCAGTCCACAGGTATGAAGATGTTATACCAGTGTCTCTGGGAAAGCAGATAAGGAAAGTTTCTCAGGGCTGGCTTCTGGTGCTGACACTGCAATTCACATGGCCCCTTGTCCCCTTGCATCTCCCCAAGAGGTGAAACTTTTCCAGGCATCTGGGGCGCCAGGCAATGGTTATAAACCATGTAAAAGGTTATACAAAAGACGGGGTAAGCAATAAGCTACATAGAGAAGAAAAGAATTAAATGTATCAAACCCAACTCCTCCTTCTTCCATTGGAGAATGGCAGATACACGGATCTGACAAGATGTCATTCTCTCATTCTGGATAGATCTGTACACAAAAGCACCAGTGAACATCAGGAATGGCCCAGTGATAGGATTCAAATTTTTTACTACTGGTTCTGTGGGTGTGGCTTGGTGGGCGTGGAAGGGGAAGGATACTGTAAAATCTCCAGTTAGAGGAGGTATTTGCCGGTCCTCAGAACTAAATTTCAAAATGTCCGCTACCGGTTCTCCAAGAACTGGTCAGAACCTGCTGAATATTTATTTTATTTATTTTATTTGTTTATTTGGTTTGTCAATTGCTTACAAGATAATAGGTATAAGTAAAAACATAGTCATGAATACATGAATACATATAAGAAAAAAACAACAACAATAGGACAGGATAATGGTTTCTTTGGCATTTGTAATATTCTGGCTAGGGTGGGAGGAAAAGTTTCCCCCCATTTTCACTGCTTTTGTCCTCTTCTTACTCTTTGCAGGCCTCAATGTCTAGCATCTTGTGTAATGGACTTTATCCCAACTAAATACAAAAGTGTGACCCTATGAGGCAGGGTGAGCAGCCTGTCAGTTCAGGCTTATATGTGTGGACTTCAGCTTCATTTCAAAACTCTTCACCAAAAGGTTGCTCTGCTTTGCTTTAAGATGCCATAGCCCCTTTGCTGTTTCTAGCAGTAGGTGAGAATCAAGACAAAACCTTACAAGGGATTTTGCAAAACTTTTTATTTATTTATTTTTATTTTGTCAAGCGAGTATAAGATAATAGGTATAAGTATAAACATAGTTATGAATACATGAAATGGATACATATAAGAAAGATAAAAAGAAACAATAGGACAGGGACGTTAGGCACATTGGTGCGCTTATGCACACCCCCTACAGACCTCTTAGGATAGGAGTGAGGTCAATAGTAGAAAGTCTAAGGTTAAAGTTTTTGGGGTTTGGGGAAGAAACCACAGTCAGGTAGAGTATTCCAGACATTGACCACTCTGTTGCTGAAGTCGTATTTCCAGCAATCACGTTTGGTACGGTTTACCTTGAGTTTGTATCTGTTGTGTGCTCTTGTATTGTTGTGGCTGAAGCTGAAGTATTAATTGACAGGTTGGACATTGCAATGTATAATTTTATATACTATACTTAGATCGGACCTAAGGCGTCGTAGTTCTAGATTTTTTAGGTCTAGAATTTCAAGTCTGGTGGCATAAAGTATTCTGCAACGAGTAGAGGAGTGGAGAACTCTTCTTGTGAAATATTTCTGGACTTTCTCAACTGTGTTAATATCAGATACGTAATGTGGGTTCCAGACTGATGAGCTGTATTCGAGTATTGGTGTAGCAAATGTTTTGTATGCTCTAGTTAGTAGTGTGATATTACCAGAGAAAAAGCTATGTAGGATTAGGTTAACAACTCTTAATGCCTTTTTGGCTATACAGTTACAGTGGGCTCTAGCACTTAGGTCATTACAGATGAGTATGCCAAGGTCCTTGACTG